TCTCGTCTGGTGAAATGTTTCCGTGACGCGGGTAGCGTGCACGACAGGCGATCTTCTGTTGTATCAGACATGATTGAAAGTGACTGAATGTACGAATCGCTGAACGCGCTGGACATTTCCAATACTTAATTTAACTTTTCCTGTTTTCTGATTCTAATGTACTTTATTTCTTGACTAATGGAGCATGTGCTGAGAAGATGTTTCTTGGTTTTTTTTTCCCGATCATCCAGTGCAACTGAGTTTTCAATTTTTACTAATCCTGATGCTTGAAAGCCTAATTTTGTTGTCGGGACATTCTCCTTTGCTTTGTTTCACTGTGAATTAAATTTGACATAAGTGAATACATTTCAACGCAAAGAGGTGTGACAACGTAATGTCCTTCCTGTTATCCAGAAGGTCGGAGTTCATGCCCCGTTATTGGCCGCAGTTCCACACAGACCCAGCTTCGCCCCTCGCTGTAACAATGTCGTAGTGTGACGAGGACAGTATCTGCCTCTTAATTCCATTCCAGCAATTTGCCATCTTATGCCACACAAAACTTACTTGATGAGATGGCGTTGTTAAACAAGCAAAATCAATATCAAGCGAGTTGTGTGTTCTTTGATTCAAATAGACGTGCTGGAAAATGTGTAAAACTTATAATTTGTGTTTCTTCTTATAATTCTCACTGCTTTTGCGTCCAGTAGTGTCGAACATCAGACTCAGAATTTACATAAACTTCGTTTGCTTCCCTTCGAATCTGATTCTCTTGTTCCAAAGTTTCGTCAGTTGACTGAAATTACGTTTCAGATCTCTAATCACCGCATTCTTTTGACGAGACTTTGCCATGAAACAACAGGAATTACTTCCATGTAATTTCCTGCGAAAGTATATTTATCATATTTTCACACAATTTGTTTTTCACAAACACTAATTTCGTTCCTTTTTGTTCAGGGAGACGTTTTATGACAAGAATTATCTCTCCTTTGATGCCGAAATTCATTTTCTGCATGTCTTACCTCGAACGAGTGGTAATATTTGTAAGATTTAAAGCAGATAATGCTCTTAGCATTCAGAAAGTACCCTGACCTCAGTAAGTCTTACTCGAACGGAGTATCAAAGTTAGTGTTTTTCCTACGACAGCAGGAAGAATAAATTTTTGGCCTGAATCTGACCTTTGACCATTGACCATGGTAACTAAGGCAGCGTGGAGAGTCTCCTCCCAGTCACGTGCAGGTTTTCGTGTAAAATGTCCGCTACTGTCGTCCGATTTTCATCAAGATCTTAACATGTCGATGAATTTTAGCGATAATCTTAAGATGGCTGCCTTGTAGTCTGTTAGAAGTTTACCGACATTTTAGGTGAGCTTATTGTCTTATCGCCCCAATGGTGGAGGCAGCAAGGACCTCTGAAACGTTGGTAAACTTCAATCACATTAAAGGGCTTAACAACCCAGAAGACAGCCATCTTCAGACCCTCCACCGTGAGAATCTCACATCCAAGTTTTCTGCTAAAACCTCGGTTAATCTTGAAGTAAACGAGTTATGAGAGAAACACTGATTTAAATTTCATTTGTTCTTGGAGTCAAATTGTTTTAAGTTCCGTAAAATTGATGTAGATTATTGTGCAAAGTTTCGCGCGAGCAAATCTAACTTCTGTAAGATTCCACACGGCTGCAGTGAGCGGTGTTCGGGTACATGACCCTTTGTCCCCTTACGGACTTGTCAGAAACATTTCCCAGGAAGTACATCGTCTGGATTCAAATCGAAGGTCTCAGTACCAGGCACCAAGAGCGTCAAGGAAAATTGGCTTGAAATTGCGACTTGCCAAAGTTTCAAAATGAGATACTAAAAGTGATTTTTAACCTTAATCCTACTTCATTTTATTCTATAATACAGTGCGTTGTGTATTAAAAAAACAAGTCATTTAAGAGGTAATTATAATTCCCTGTTAATATCCGCTCTCAGTTCATGGCTTATAATCCCCTGTCAAATTATGACTGTGATGTACTTTTCTCCGACATAATTATTTTCCTATTAAAGTGCAAGCAAGCCGCTTAAAAGGCAGACGATTACAAGGTGGTGATTAAATGACAACTAGCCGAGAGCTGAGAAACTCAGGAAATTCACATTTTATGGAACCCGAAGGCTCATTACCGTGTTCCCTATACTGTTTCTCAAAGATCCATTTTAATATTATCCTCCCACTTACGTCTAAGTCTACCTAGTAGGCTCTTTTTTTTGGTTTGCTCACCAAAACTCTGTATGCATTCCTCCTCTCTTTTATGCGGGCTGCCTATCTCCCCCCCCCCCTTGACCTGATCATCCTAATTATATTAGGCGAGGAGTACGACTTTCTTTGTCCTCTGAGTATTTCAACTCTCTTGGGTCCAAGTGATCTCCAAAGCTCCCTCAGTCTGCGTCTCACCCTTAGTGTCAGAGACCAATTTTCACACCCATACAAAACTGCAGGTAAAATTATAGTTTTGTTTATTTTCATCTTTACGACTTTAGACAGTAAGCGGAAAAAACGAAACTTTGTCCAACCTGCGGACCTGTAATAAACATTTGAAGCCGAAGCTCGACTAAGTAATATTTAAGAATCCAGTCCGTACCGCGAAGAAAACACAACTCTTCACCATTACAAAAGATCAAATGTTTAACGCTGTTTAAGGAAATAATCGCTGTTTATAATGAGACACGCAGTGCGTACGTAATATTTAAACATCTAGTCCGTACCGCGAAGAAAACACAACACTTCACCATTACAAAGATCAACTGGTTAACGCTGTTTACAGCGAGAATTATACGAAACATAAATAAAAACTGAATAGTTATTGATTGTCGAAACAAGCCGGATGTGTTTAAAATTGGGATTCAAAGTAATGATATTTCTCTGCGATCAATTCATGATCAGACTCTAAGGTACAGAAACAAAGCCAAATGCTAGGGCCACGTGACCTGACAGGCCAGTTTTCGGGCGCATAAACTTTGCACTTTTTAGCAGTGTCTAAAACCCAATTAACGTGGCTCGCTCTGTTTCGTGACGTCAAAGCGACGAAGTGTCAACAGCCAAGACGCTTCGGTACAATAAGCCCTTTTGACCTTAATTTGCGGGGCCTAGACAAACGTTTGAAGCGTCACTCAGGTATCACGTACAAAGCTGCTGTCTACTCAACAAGCGAATCATTAATAATACGATTGCAGAATGATATTTGACTCCTGACCCATGAATAGTATTTAATTGGGGCCACAGTCAGTCGGTGAAGTCACAAGTTCAAAGCAATTCCGTGCACTGACGCCACGGCCTGATTGTTTTTCAACCTCATTGTCAGTTGCACTGGTCCGAAATGATTCTGCCAGTTTGAACGTGATCATTGCTTATAACTGTGTAATGTCAATGCGCGTACCGAAATATTAAGCTTCAGTAATTAAACATTGCAAAGGCAATGCTTTACAACGGAGTACATTCAGTCGAGAGTCAGTGCTTTTGTGTGTTTACATTGAAATTACATTTAATTTTTTTTATTATTGATATGGCAACGCGTGTCAGTCAGCGGCCCCAGGGCGGAGAGTGTTTGATGATCCCCAGGTTCAAAGTTTGGACTGCGTTTTCTGCTGCCATCTTCAGGTCGGGCTTGCGTACCCATCGCCCGAAACGTCGTGTTCTGTCCGTAAAATATTCGACGATGGACAAAGTTACTAACTGCAGTGCGCCAAGGTCTTTATCTGTTCTGTGTTAAGAAGATTTCGTGTCGTTTGAGAGACGTTGGATTAGGTGGAAGGTTGGCGTTGGGGGCGTCGATTACGTTTGTCCGTTGATAGATTTCTTTTGTCAATGGAACAGAGAATCTCCACGTTCTTCAGAAGGCCAGAAATTCATCAGCTAATGTTAATTCTTCGTATGATTCCGCACAACTGAGTTTCTTAAACACATAAAATTGTCATCCATAGAAGGTGTACTGATTAACACAATAAGTTATTGTCTATTTAAAATAAAAAAATACAGAAAAACAATACAGAAATTGTCTTTCGTAATCTTACCGCTTATAAATTACCTTTAAAAATAAATTACTAAACACATACGAGCATACTTTCTGGTTCAATAAATTGTCACACTAAATTTAATGTAATTTTACATTTTCTTTATACACTTCAACATTCTTTTACTTATTTTATTTTCTACTCATTTCGGACATTAAACTTCCCTGTCAGTTGAATTTAGAGCTTAATTAATAAATTCACCTTCTTCTTAAATCCCACACATTTCTTTATCGTAGGTCTAATCACAAAATAATTTGTGTACTTCCTTTCTTATACAAATCCTGCTTGAAGCGTTGATAAAGCGTTCTTATCTGTTAGCCAATACGCAGTCTCCTGAAAATTCCTGTTTCAGTGGCTTCGACCGTCCACTTTCTCATTTCGCCAATAAAGTATGCACGATACAAGTTCCATGTCTCAGCTGGTAGACGCTCGGAGCCTGTGCCTTTCTCTCCTCAGTACACGCTAACTCCTTCCTCTGCATAACATGGGCCCAGGTACTCGGTTTAATTAATCAAACCGCCTTTCCGTTTCCTCTAAAATGACTTACCAAAACACGTTGCTCAGTCATGCGGTTTCAAGTGCTCTTCAAACATTGTTTCTATTCTTTACTTTTGTTTCTAATTTCTTAATCGTCTCTGCTTCCGGCCCTTGTCATGCCTTCTTCATGTTCTCCACAGTTATTGCATCCATCTGTCGTTTATATGAGTTACTATAGAGGTTAATACAAAAAACCAAAGTTTTGCCGAATTCGATTAAAGTATCTTTTGTAATAATAATTCAAATATATTAAGTAAATCCGATTGAAGGAACAATAAAATGTCCGAAACAGTTACGAACGCGCGAGGTGTTAAATCGGAAAATTTGAGCAATTAGGGTGACAAAACCTTTGCCCCAAATTTGATCGTGGCCCTCATTTGTCTCGGAAACACTTTCGGCCCTTCACTGGTTGAGGCGCTCACGACACGCGTTCTGTTTCAGTGTCGGACTTCACCCAGCAATTGTCCCACATCTACGAACGACACGCGGAAGAGATGCAGCTGCTCGTCGCCAACTTCCGCAAGAGGAACGCCGAGTTACGTAAAGAAAGGTATGCGACGTCGCTCCGGACCCTAATTTGGCTGTCTTGTGGAGTGTTGAAGTTTAAACTTCCACCAGACTACGTGGTGCGACAACCCAGAAGACGGCCAGCCGTGAAAACCTCAAGTCCTGCTCTAAATGTTGTTAAAACACTCAGACGCCCTAATAAGCTTTGTCAATCTCGAAAGCAGTAATGGCAGATAATGGAAACACATTTTAAAAGCACTTGAAACAGCGCATTTTAGATTTCTGAAATTTTAGACGATCGAGGTTTTAAAACCACTTCCAGTAGCAACGTCATGTAAGTGTCAGAGGTGAAGACTTGGTGGATTGTCAACAACCTTCCGCGCATAAGAAACAGTTTCAGCAGTCATTTTATAGCTGTTTTCCGTTTAACTTAATCAGAGTTGCACGAGCTTAGAAAATTGCTCAGAGCAGGTGTTGGCTGTTGGCGTAATTGTTCCAGGCGAACGGTGCGAAAACTGGGCTGACGAATCTGCATTCTCCCTTCTTTCAGATGGTTGTTGCCTACTTTAAGTTATCAGCTGAGCTTTTGCCTAGAAGGACTGTGAAATTTTACGAAAAGTTTTCATTTTGCCAACATCCGGACCCAGGATTAAATACGGAAATTTCTTATAAAAACTGGAATTGTAGGTTAAATGTGATCAGCCACGACACCTGGTGTTTCTCTGCGATGAATATTGAGATTCAGGTTTTATCGGGACACGTTCAATAGAGTAAGTAAATTATTAGACCAGGCACTGCAAGTGGTTTTAAGTTTGTACATTATGTTCCTCGCCATTTGTTTATTACGTGAATTTTCTGCTGACGAATTAAGTACGTAATAGCCATGTCTCGAGGCATGCAGTTATCGTGATGCAGTTTCCAACGCCTCGGCTCATGTACCTTTGACTCGATTTCAATTTTCGTGTCAAAATCGCATGCGGCCATAATCTTAGGACACGGTGTCAAATGCAGGCCTGTTTCGTGACCACAGCGCCTCTGGTGACACAAAAGCAACATGTCACATTCTGTAGGATGTCGATCGACTTTTGATCGAGCTATTTTGCCTTCGATTTCTTTTATGTTTCTCACTTAATAATAATAATAGAAAAATATAATATAATATAATAATATAAAATAAAATTATATAATACATGTGGCACTTGCTATAAACAATATGGATCCCGGAAATAGCTGCTGCCCTACGTACCATGGAAGTTTTTACTCTGTAAAATGGCGAATAGAAGGAATAATAATAATAATAATAATAATTCTGTAAAGATAATGGACTAACTTTTTTTACATTAGAACAATAATCTAAAATTTGGGGCACCTTCACATGAATAGGTCATCAAAGTTGGCATTTACGTGGCCTCGAGGCAAATAAGAGAATTTTCCAGAGCTTTAAGACATTCCTTCTGCTAAGTACGTCATTGCTGCAAGTGGCGTTGGAAGATTTTTTGGCAAAAACATCTTCTGTTTTCAGGACACCTAGACAGGAGAAAATATTTGGGTTGATTCAATGTGTTTAGTTTAGATTTATTTTTATTTTTTATTATTTTTCTCCACTTGGTATTTAATCTTCTTCAGCTAATGCTCTGACCGGTTTCTGTAGGCGTTGAGCCATCACATTATAATAAAGAATTGATTTGAACTGAAAGAATTATTCGCAGGCAAACTGGGAAAGACCTGGCAACTCCCTTTTACAGGCCACAGCGCACTCAGTCTGAATTTTGCCCTGCAATACACGATAAAACACCAAGTGTGAGAGAGAGACCTCTCTCTCTCTCTC